ATCGGATACGAACTGCGGACAATACGCGCTTCCGACACGAAAGAAACAGTGAAACCGATTTCGACTCGTTGAAATTATTCGAAGAAAACACACGTTACCGTTGCCTAAAGGATTTCCGCGTAAACGTCCGCAGTCTAATCGTAACTCCTCGATTCGGTCATTTTCTGCTTCGCTTTGTTCAACTAAAACGTAACTTCTAGACTAGAGGAAACTACGTCCTATGTAGGATCTTACGGGCAATGAACTGCTTCGATTTCACGTAATAACTGCAGACAATTGTCGATCCGTGTTTCACTGCATCGTACATTAAGTGTAAATCGAAGACTAGAAGATCTCTTGAGCAATGAATTATTTTGATTTCACCTAATTTCTCTTGGCAATGATCGAGTAGTCAGTCAACGTTAACCAGAGAGATTATCTCCAAAATTGTGCCATCTTCTCAGGTCCCCGGTATTAAAGAGTCGAATCGCCGCCGTAGCCTCTTTTTCGCGCGAATCGCGCAGACCGTGTAAAAATCGCGGCCGGCCGCGCGTATAGAAACTTCCGACGATCGTCGCACGATCGCACGACTTAACGCGCTATCGATTCGCGTAGGAACGACGCGCGACGGGGGCGTCGTTTCACTCGCCGCTAATTAAATATTACCCGCCTTACGTTCTACGTATCCCTCGCCATCTACATGGATTATCACTGTTTCGTATCCCGGTCGAACATCCTCGTCGATCAAGCACACACACGCGCGCGCGCACAGACACGCGCACGCACACGCACACGCCCACGCACGTGGAGAAGAACCGAAAAAAGTAAAACGGAAAAATGGTAACTCTTGGTTATCATCGAGAAAGAAAGAACTGGCCATCGTCTTCTCTCGCTCTCGTGGATCGCGACTCGCTCGGCGACCTTACATTCTCCAGCGAAATTCGCGCACTCTTTCGATTCCTCGATTTAAAAACGAATTAACAAGCTATCCGAGTTACAAAGTAGTTTGCCCAGCAACATCCGATAAATTCCGTTCAAAAAAGAATCATCGTGTAAAGTGCAAATGATTTGGAAGATGCGCTCGAATACCGTTATCGACGAATCGAAAGCAACGTAAACCGACACCGAGATTCCAAGCGAGTGACGCCATAATTCTTGTATTCTCGATAGCATTCTTCATCGTTATCGTTGCGTCACTCCATCGACCTTGCTCTCTCTCTCTCTCTCTCTCTCTCTCTCTCTCTCTCTCTCCTGTCTCTTATACACATCTAGATGTGTATAAGAGACAGCTCTCTCTCTCTCTCTCCTGTCTCTTATACACATCTAGATGTGTATAAGAGACAGCTCTCTCTCTCTCTCTCCTGTCTCTTATACACATCTAGATGTGTATAAGAGACAGCTCTCTCTCTCTCTCTCCTGTCTCTTATACACATCTAGATGTGTATAAGAGACAGCTCTCTCTCTCTCTCTCCTGTCTCTTATACACATCTAGATGTGTATAAGAGACAGCTCTCTCTCTCTCTCTCCTGTCTCTTATACACATCTAGATGTGTATAAGAGACAGCTCTCTCTCTCTCTCTCCTGTCTCTTATACACATCTAGATGTGTATAAGAGACAGCTCTCTCTCTCTCTCTCCTGTCTCTTATACACATCTAGATGTGTATAAGAGACAGCTCTCTCTCTCTCTCTCCTGTCTCTTATACACATCTAGATGTGTATAAGAGACAGCTCTCTCTCTCTCTCTCCTGTCTCTTATACACATCTAGATGTGTATAAGAGACAGCTCTCTCTCTCTCTCTCCTGTCTCTTATACACATCTAGATGTGTATAAGAGACAGCTCTCTCTCTCTCTCTCCTGTCTCTTATACACATCTAGATGTGTATAAGAGACAGCTCTCTCTCTCTCTCTCCTGTCTCTTATACACATCTAGATGTGTATAAGAGACAGCTCTCTCTCTCTCTCTCCTGTCTCTTATACACATCTAGATGTGTATAAGAGACAGCTCTCTCTCTCTCTCTCCTGTCTCTTATACACATCTAGATGTGTATAAGAGACAGCTCTCTCTCTCTCTCTCCTGTCTCTTATACACATCTAGATGTGTATAAGAGACAGCTCTCTCTCTCTCTCTCCTGTCTCTTATACACATCTAGATGTGTATAAGAGACAGCTCTCTCTCTCTCTCTCTCTCTCTCTCTCTCTCTCTCTCTCGCCGAGAAATTCGAAGCCGAACGACCCTAAATGCCAGGAATTCGACGCGGATTCCGCAATTCCACCGAATGCTTGCATACTTTTCTACTAATCGAGGCGCTGGATGGGTTACACTTTTCCGATATATATAAAAAACCTCCCATTTTCACGTAAATCAAGCAACGGCGGCGAAACTATCCAACGGTAGACAAATAGCTTATCAACGATTCAGGATCGGGTTCAGTCTCCAAATCGAAGGGAATTTAATTAATCTGCCCTCGACGCAACGCGACCAAGCGGGCTGCTGTGAAACGCGTTGCACGAATTCGCCCAACAATTATTCAAATTATTCCGGATTAATCCCACTACGTTTTCGAGCTGTACATTTTAGCGTGGAGAACACAGAAATCACTTTCTTCGGTTATATCAATTTTGTTATACCTATAAAATATAAATTCGGATAAAGGGTTGACAAAATATGTCGGGCTTGACTAGATCAAAGAATATTATACAATCCTAACGATATTAAAGAATAAAAAAACATACTAGGAACACAGCGGGATTAATTCGAGAACCTAGAATTAATCTTTTGTCTTTTTACGTAAATCATTGCTAATTTTTTCTCAACGTTGATTACAGACGGAATAACACGATAGAATGATCGAAGAACGAGTGAAACGACGAATACACTCGTCCTCTCCAATTCAAAGACACAAATAATTTGATTCGTGCGACGCGTTTCTTAGCATTTCACAAAATTCCTTCCCAACGCGTTGCATGTTTGCACATAGGTACAATCATGTGGGTATATGTATACACTTATATACACGTCTTTGCAAAAAGCTCGCCGTTTTTAATCGGATACTGCCCGCGTATCTCGGCGATTAGAATTTTAAATTCTCCACATACGAAATAATAAATAACGAGATGGATCACACGGGAGAAGATTTACAACGCGCAAGTGTTAATCCTAGCTTTCGTAATATCTAATAAGGATATATATGTATGTATGTATGTATGTGTGTGTGTGTATGTATGTATGTATGTATATGTGTAATATCGAGTTGCTTAAAATACCGTTACGATTAGAAACAACAAGGACAATGTTACGGTGTAACATTTTTGATTGTCTTCCTAGAAAGAGGCTCGCCCCAAAAATCGTATCGGCGCTGCCACTTTCGACAGCAGCCCCAGAAATCACGGTACAAAACGCTGGAAACGTTCCCGTCAATGTTTCCTTATATCTCCTTCGTTCACATCATTTTTATCTTTCGCTTGTTTTTTTTTTTGTTTACTTCCACACGTCATTTAAATCGTTTGGTTTTGCTTTCCTCTTTACACAATACGATCTCTTTAGTGTTTAAGATACAGGCTAACGTATCGAAAAAATGTCTTTATACGGAGTACTTTCAGTCAGAAAATATATCAGATCATTCACGCGCACATCCGAAACTTTGACTCGATTCATGCGTTCCTTACCGTCTAGGCCAAAAAGAGATTTCATCCTCCTCTCATCATTTTGCTCTCACTCGCTCTCATCCTTGCTCACGTTTTCTTTCTCTCAGCCGCTGTCTCCACTCCCATCTCCTCCACTCCTCTCTCTCTCTCTCTCTCTCTCTCTCTCTCTCTCTCCCTCTTTCTCTC